AATATTTGGCACAGAAATAACCAGCGGAATCGTCGTCCTTGAGGTTGTTCATGGTCAGCGTCACCGAGCTCGCCTGTTGTCCCTGGGGATCCTGACCCGGCCCTTGATTGATGGCGCGTAGTAGGTGTTGGCACCAATATAGTAGATGCTTGTGACGTATTCCAAAGCCTGCCCGGGTCTCTGGCACATGCAGAATATGGAGAAACTCCCGAAACTGAACCCAGACCCTCGGCAGAGGAGGCGCAGGGAACCCCCGGGGGGTTGGAGGTCCCCCCCGCACTCCAGCAGGGTCACTGGCACCGGGAGCCCTGCGGGACAAAGGGGAGATGGGGATGAGGCCAAAGCTCAACCCTTGACCCAAATCCTGACCCTGGGACCAAAACTAGGACCCTTGGAGTTCATCACGGTCCTCCCAGGTGGGTCCCACCTCTTTTTCCAGGTTGCCACACCTGCTTTGAGGCCCTCGACCAATCAGGTTCCTCATCCCCATCTCCCCTTTGTCCCGCAGGGCTCCGGGTGGCCGTGACCCTGCTGGAGTGCGGGGGAGACCTCCAGCCCCCCGGGGGTTCCCTGTGCCTCCTATGCCGAGGGTCCGGGTTCAGTTTTGACAGTTTCGAAATGGATTGGGTTCGACAGAGACCTGGACAGGGGCTGGAGTGGGTTGGAAGCATCAACAGTGGTGGCAGCACCTACTACGCACCATCGGTCATGGGCCGGGTCACGATCTCCAGGGACAACGGGCAGAGCTCGGTGACGCTGACCATGAACAACCTCAAAGACGAGGATTCCGCCACCTATTTCTGTGCCAAAACCACTGTTACTGGAAATGTTGCCCGTGCTGATGCTTTTGACGCCGTCCCCTTCATCCTTTCCCCCCTTGTCCCCGTTCCCCAGACCCTTCCCCAATCCCCAGGCCCTGACCCCATTCCTGTCCCCGTGCCCCAACCCTGCCCTGGCTCTGCCCCGCATTCTCAGCTCCTGGCCCCACTCCTCAGCTCAGGGCCCACTCGGGGCCATTTTGGCTCCTGAGCTCTCCTTGGCCATTCTGACCCTGCCCTTGACCGATGGAACGTTCCAGGTGACTCCACCCTTGGACCCCTCTGCTTCTCTCAGCATGGTGCCCATGGTTCGAGATCAATTTCAACAATTTCATCTCCCCTAACTTTCATGAGTTTCGGGAAAAATAAAAGGGTTTTTTCTCCATAGCTCCCAGAGAGGATTCCAGCCCAGCCCCAAGGAGCAGCCCCAGACTCCGCGGCCGTTGAGGGAGAAGTGAAGCCCCAGGTGGGAGCGAGCGAGGGAGGGAGGGAGGAGCAGACGCGGCGATTTTGGGTCTCTGCAGCCTCCCCCCACTTCCTGCCCGGCAGCTGCCGGGGCCCGGCCGGGGCAGGAAAGGAAACAGAAAGTTCCTGGTTTTGGTCATTGTGAACATCTGTGTTTGGCAGAGGGCAGCTCAGCCTGTGGGCTCTGCGGCAGAGTTCCAGCGGCACAAAAAGCTTTGTGTGCAAAGGGCCCTGGAGCGATCCCTACTCCACACTCGGACGGAGGCAACTGGGCGAGATTGGGGTGGAATGGGGAAAATTGGGGGGAAATGGAGAGTTTGGTCTGCAGGGGCAGACTTTGGGGGAAAATGGTGAAGATTTGAGGAGAAGGGCTGGGATTTGGACGACGGATCTCTGGGATTGGGGAAACTTGATGACCATCATGGTCACTGCCAGGATTGATGCCGAAACCGGCGTCAATAGCATTGCCAGCGTAACCATTGCAAAGTTTGACCCAGAAATAAACGGTGGAATCCTCGTCCTTGAGGTTGTTCATGGTCAGCGTCACCGAGCTCTGCCCGTTGTCCCTGGAGATCCTGAACCGGCCCTTGAATGACGGCGCGTATCTGGGAGTGTCGCCATCACTGGTGACACTCGCCACAAACTCCAAACCCTGTCCCGGTCTCTGGCGGATCCAGGCCATCCCAAAACTGATGAAATCGAACCCGGACCCTCGGCAGAGGAGGCGCAGGGACCCCCCGGGGGGCTGGAGGTCCTCCCCGCACTCCAGCAGGGTCATGGCTGCCCGGAGCCCTGCAGGACAAAGGGGAGATGGGGATGAGGCCAAAGCTCAACATTGACCCAAATCCTGACTCTGGGCCTCAAACTGGGACCCTTGGAGTTCATCATCCTCCTCCCAGGTGGGTCCCGCCCCTTTTTACAGCTGGCCACATGCAATATGATACATTCAACCAGTCAGGTTTCTCATCCCTATCTCCCCTTTGTCCCTCAGGGCTCCGGGCGGCCGTGACCCTGCTGGAGTGCGAGGGGGACCTCCAGCCCCCCGGGGGTTCCCTGCGCCTCCTCTGCCGAGGGTCCGGGTTCAGTTTCAGAAGCTACGAAATGAACTGGATCCACCAGAGACCCGGGCAGGGCCTGGAGTGGTTCGCGGTGATCACCAACACTGGTGGCACCACCATCTACGCGCCATCAGTCAAGGGCCGGTTCAGGATCTCCAGGGACAACGGGCAGAGCTCAGTGACACTTACCATGAACAACCTCAAGTATGAGGATTCTGGATCCTATTTCTGTGGGAAAGCTTCGTTCTCTGGTTGTGTTCCTAATGCTGGTTATATTGACGATGCACGTTATGGCCTCCAGCTCCTGGTTCTGGCACCAGTCCCATCATTGAGTCCCCAGAGTTGTGATTTTCATCCCAAATGTCACCCATTGACCCAGCCCTTTACCCTTTGTCCCCATTTGCACCAATGGTCAGCACTGACCCCAAACCCTTCCCTGCTCCTGCCCCAAAACTGAACCACTGGCCCCAAACCTTCAGCCCGGAGCTCGAGGTCTGACCTTGCTCTCCAAGAGTTCCCATTTCTGCCTGTGCCAGCTCAGCCAATCAGGGCCCGAGGAGCAGGGGGAGATTTGAGGACAACGTGGAGATTTGGGGCGAATTTTGGTGCCAACTTACTTTGGTTTGGGGCAGAACAAGTAAGGGCTTTGTGGCTTCGTGGTTGGCGTTGCTGGAAATGGGGGAGATCTGGGCGAGGGGGTCAGGAATGGGGTCAAGGGCTGAGATTTGGGGAAGGGTCTGGGGACTGGGGACAGGAAGGGCTCAGAAATGGTGGTGCCACCACCGGCAGGGTCAATATAGGCAGCAGCATCAGCACCACCACCATAAGCAGCTTTGGCACAGAAATAGGCGGTGGAATCCTCGTCCTTGATGTTGTTCATGGTCAGCGTCACCGAGCTCTGCCCGTTGTCCCTGGAGATCGTGAACCGGCCCTGCACCGAATCCCCATAGAAGTTGTCTCCTTCGTAGTCAATCCGCGCAACCCCTTCCAGCCCCTGCCCAGGCCTCTGGCGAACCCAAATAAAACTGGTTTGTCGGAAATCGAATCCAGACCCTCGGCAGAGGAGGCGCAGGGATCCCCCGGGGGGCTGGAGGTCCCCCCCACACTCCAGTAGGGCCACGGCCGCCCGGAGCCCTGCGGGAAAAAGGGGAGATGGGGATGAGAAACCTGATTGTTCGAGGGCCTCCAAGTGGGCAAGGCCAGCTAGAAAAAGGGGCCTGGACCCAGCTGGGAGGAGGATGATGAACTCGAAGGGTCCCAATTTGGGGCCAAGATTCGGGATTTGGGTCAAGGGTTGAGCTTTTGCCTCATCCCCATCTCCCCTTTGTCCCGCAGGGCTCCGGGCGGCCGTGACCCTGCTGGAGTGTGGGGGGGACCTCCAGCCCCCCGGGGGGTCCCTGCGCCTCCTCTGCCGAGGGTCCGGGTTTAGTTTTGGGAGTTTCTCCATGTTCTGGATCTGCCAGAGACCCGGGCAGGGGCTGGAGCCAGTCGCCATTATCAGCAAAGGTGGCAGCGCCTACTACGCGCCATCGGTCAAGGGTCGATTCAGGATCTCCAGGGACAACGGGCAGAGCTCGGTGACGCTGACCATGAACAACCTCAAGGACGAGGATTCTGGATCCTATTTCTGTGGGAAATGTGCTTATACTGGTGGTTGCAGTTCTGATGGTGGTGCTATTGATGTGCCGGTCTTGGCCCCATTCCCCAACCAGCACTGCAGGAGCATCAGGGCACGGAACGGTCAGGACAGACGGACGGACATGAGAGATCTCTGCAGCCAGGTTGTGGAATTTGGGGTTTATTGCAAAGGACGAACTGCAGGGGCCTGCTGTGAACTGCCAGGCACAGCTGGAGCCGGGCTGAGAGAAGAGAGGGGAGAGAGGATGAGAGGGTGAGAGAGTAAGAGAGTAAAAAAGGTAAATGAGTAAATGGGTGAGAGAATAAAAAGGGTAAGAGAGTGAAAGAGTCAGTGAATAAAATGGTAAGAGTGTAAAAGGGTAAGAACATAAAACTGTAAGAGAATAAAAGGGTAAGAGAGTGAGGTTCCCACCACAATACAATAAATCTTCTTCTCTGTAGAAGATTCTAATTCTCACTAACCAATCTGGTCCAACATACAAACCCTACAGCATTTACATACAGCCTATAAGAATAGTTTCATTACCGTACTGTGTTACATTTTAAACCCTAAAAATTGGTCTTTGGGACCCTTCTGCTAAGACTGAAACCGACTCGTTGGAAACCCTAAAAACTCCTTTTTGGAGCAACTTCAAACCCTAAAAACACCTTTTTGGAGCAACTTTAAACCCGAAAACACCTTTTTGGAGTAACTTTAAACCCGAAAACTCCTTTTTGGAGTAACTTTAAACTCTAAAATCTCCTCTTTGGCCCCTTCTGCCAAGCTGTTAGGTCGCTCTGACCCTTGGAGCTGTCTGCAATCAGAGGGTGTTGTTCCATCAAAAGGGGATCACCTTCAGGTGACCACACTGTTGTTTTCCTGTTGTTCGGTCACTCTGGGATCTCAAAGCTTGCTTTCCTTTCAATCTTGCTGATGGTTTCCATATTCTCAAAATCTTTTGCCAGGCAATCACATTGATAAGGCTTTGCTGTTCCATCTTCCCCAACCAGCATCAGCATAAGCACCGTGACCATCGGTGTCCTTGGCGCAGAAATAGGATCCGGAATCCTCATCCTTGAGGTTGTTCATGGTCAGCGTCACCGAGCTCTGCCCGTTGTCCCTGGAGATCCCGAACCGGCCCTTAACGGAATCCGCGTACCAGGTGCTGCCACCACTGCTGGTGATGGTTCTGACACACTCCAGCCCCTGCCCAGGTCTCTGGCAGATCCAGGCCATCCCAAAATGGCCAAAATCAAACCCGGACCCTCGGCACTGCAACGTCAGGGACCCCCCGGGGGGCTTGAGGTTGCCCCCACACTCCAGCAGGGTCACGGCCGCCCGGAGCCCTGCGGGACAAAGAGGACATGGGGATGAGGCGATGCAAAAGTCAGGCAGAGGTGTCCAAGTAATTAATGGGTGGACTGGGGCTCATTGCTCGGTTTAAGGCACTTTACCTTTCAGGATACATCTGTTGGAGATTTGGGGACAAACAAAGGGAATTTGGGGCAAAACCGGTGAAGGTTTGGGGATGGGGGAGCGGCCGTGACCCTGCTGGAGTGCGGGGGGGACCTCCAGCCCCCCGGGGGGGTCCCTGATGTTGCTGTGCCGAGGGTCCGGGTTCAATTTTGGGAGTTTTGGAATGTTCTGGATCCGCCAGAGACCTGGGAAGGGGCTGGAGTGGCTCACTGGGATCTACAGCAATGGTGCTTACACCGAGAACGCGCCATCGGTCAAGGATCGGTTCACGATCTCCAGGGACAACGGGTAGAGCTCGGTGACGCTGACCATGAACAACCTCAAGGACGAGGATTCCGGATCCTATTTTTGCGCCAAGGCTGCTGGTGCCAGTTGGGGTAATGATGTCTCTCCTCTTGGCCCCATCCCCTTGATTGCGTCCCCTCCTGTCCCCAATCCCCAGACCCTTCCTCCAAATCTCAGCCCCTGACCCCATTCTTGACACTTTGTCCCAGATCTTCCCCAGTTCCAACAACGCCAACCACTGACCCAAAACCCCCAAGCTGGTTCTGCCCGAAACCCAACTGCTTTGGCCCCAAAATTCACCCGATTCTGCCCCAAATCCCATCTTGTGCTCCCAGCCACAGCCACTGACATGAGTCGTGAACCTTTGACCCCAAATAAGGACCCTGGGCCTGAAAACCTGACCTTCAGAGCTAAGGTTTGGGGCACAAAGAGGAGATTTGGGGTCAGGAGTTGTGGTTTGGGGTCAGCGGGTGAGGATTGGGGCCGAGGCAGAGCAAGGTTGGGATCGATGGTCAAGGGCTGGGTGTAGGCTGGGGGTTTGGGGGAAGGGTCTGGGGGGCAGGGAGAGGGGGGGGGACACGGCCATGGGGATGGGGTCAAAAAGTTAAGCACCAGCAGAACCATCATAGCAACCAGCATCCACACATTTGGCACAGAAATAGGATCCGGAATCCTCGACCTTGAGGTTGTTCATTGTCAGCGTCACCGAGCTCTGCTCGTTGTCCCTGGAGATCGTGAACCGACCCCTGACTGATGGGGCGTACCAGGAGCTTCCACCACTGCTGTAGATACTCGCAACCCACTGCAGCCCCTGCCCGGGTCTCTGGCGGATCCAGAACCTGTCGTAACTCCCAAAACTGAACGCAGACACTCAACAGAGAAGGCGCAGGGACCCGCCGGGGAGCTGGAGGTCCCCCCCACACTCCAACAGAGTCACGGCCGCCCGGAGCCCTGCGGGACAAAGGGGAGATGGGGATTAGAAACCTGATTGGCTGTGGGCCTCAAAGTGGGTGTGTCAAACTGGAAAATGGGACGGGACCCACCTGAGAGGGGCAGCAGGAGCAGAAGAACTAGGATGGGGTGGTGCAAAGGTCCCAGTTTTTGGCCAAGCGTCAGGATTTGGGTCAAGGGTTGAGCTTTGGCCTCATCCCCATCTCCCCTTTGTCCCGCTGGGCTCCGGGCAGCCGTGACCCTGCTGGAGTGCGGGGGGGACCTCCAGCCTCCCCGGGGGGTCCCTGAGCCTCCTCTGCCGAGGGTCCAGGTTCGATTTCGGAAATTATGGAATGTTCTGGATTCGCCAGAAATCTGGAAGACACTGGAATACCTCGCAAGTATCAATTGTGTTGGCACCACCCACCCCGCGCCATCAATAAATGGTCGGTTCACGGTCTCCAGGGACAACGGGCAGAGCTCGGTGACGCTGACCATGAACAATCTCAAGAACGAGGATTGCGCCGTATATTTCTGCTCCTAACGTAGCAGTAATGATTATGGTTTTTCTGGTCCTGCTCTTATTGGCGGCAATTCTATCAGCGGACCACCCCCAAGTGTGTCAAAAAATGTCTCCAATGCCCAGAGATCCTTCCCCGACATCCCAGCCCTTAGTGTCAAATCTTCACCATTTTCCCCCAAACTTTGCCCCATCCTTCCTCTAGTCTCGATTGTCTCCCCAGTTTTGCCCATTTCACCCCCATCTCCCCCAGTTCCCGTGCCCTGATTGGAGGAGGCCTGAACTGGAAGCCAGGGGTGAAGGTATGGGGCCAATGGTTGAGTTTTGGGGCAGGAGCAGGGCAGGGTTTGGGGTCAGTGCTGACCACTGGGGCAAATGGAGGAGATTTGGGACACAGGGTCAAGGGCTGAGGTTTAGGGGGAAGGGTCTGGGATTGGGGACTGGGGAGGTCTTGGTGATGGGAACAGGGGCAAAACCATCAGAAGCAGCAGCAGCAGCAGCAGCAGCATCCCAATTATTATCAGCAGTTTTGGCACAGAAATAGGATCCGGAATCCTCGTCCTTGAGGTTGTTCATGGTCAGCGTCACCGAGCTCTGCCCGTTGTCCCTGGAGATGCTGACTCGGCCGCTGAACGATGACGAGTATCTGGTGTCTCCATCATAATCAATCCCTGCAATGTATTCCAGGCCCTGCCCAGGCCGCTGGCGGATCGACATCAGACTGGCTCGTCCGAAACTGAATCCGGACCCTCGGCAGAGGAGGCGCAGGGACCCCCCTGGGGGCTGGTGATAGGGATGAGAAACCTGATTGGAAGTGAGATCAAAGTGGGCGTGTTAAACTGGAAAATGGGTTGGGATCCACCTGGGAGGAGCAGCAGGAGCAGCAGGACCCACCTGGGAGAAGGATGATGAAATCCAAGGGTCAAAGTTTGGAGCCAAGAGTCAGGATTTGGGTCAAGGGTTGAGCTTTGGCCTCATCCCCATCTCCTCTTTGTCCCACAGGGCTCCGTGCGGCCGTGACCCTGCTGGAGTGCGGGGGGGACCTCCAGCCCCCCGGGCTTCCCTGCGCCTCCTCTGCCGAGGGTCCGGGTTCAGTTTCGGCAGTTTCAGAATGTTCTGGGTTCGTCAGAGATCCGGGCAGGGGCTGGAATACGTCGCAGCGATCAAGAACGATGGATCCAGCTACGTCTACGCATCATCAGTGCAGGGCCAGTTCACGATCTCCAGGGACAACGGGCAGAGCTCGGTGACGCTGACCATGAACAACCACAAGGATGAGGATGCTGGTTCCTATTTCTGCGGGAAAGCTGCCTATGATACTTGGGGTGCTGCTGCTGATGGTATTGACCCTATCCCCATCGCTGTGTCCCCACCTCTCCCGTTTCCCAAGACCCTTCTCCCAAACTCAGCCCCTTACCCCATTTCTGACCCAATCTCCCAACCCTGCCCTGGCTCTGCCCCATATTCTCTACTCTTGGCCACAAAGTTGACCGAAATCATAACCCTTGACGAGAAGTATCCACTTTCAGAATCAAGTTTTGGGGCCCAAAGTGGAGATTTGCGGTCAGGAGTTGTGGTTTGGGGTCAGCGGGTGAGAATTGGGGCTGGGGCAGAGCAAGGTTGGGATCAATGGCCAAGGGCTGGGTGTAGGCTGGGGGTTTGGGGGAAGGGTCTGGACAACGGGGACAGGGGGGACACGGGGATGGGTGTGGGGACACCTTGGGCATGGTCACTACGACCAGCATCTTCAGCATAATTATAAACATCACACTTGGCGCAGAAATAAACACCGGAATCCTCGTCCTTGAGGTTGTTCATTGTCAGCGTCACCGAGCTCTGCCCGTTGTCCCTGGAAATCATCACCCGGCCCTTGACCGATGCCTCGTAGATGGTGACGCCATTGTAGTGGATCCCTGCGACGTATTGCAAACCCTGCCCGGGTCTCTGCCGGATCCAGTACATTCCATAATCACCGAAACTGAACCCAGACCCTCGGCACAGCAATGTCAGGGACCCCCCGGGGGGCTGGAGGTCCCCCCCGCACTCCAGACGGGTCACGGCTGCCTGGAGCCCTGCGGGAAAAAGGGGAGATGCGGATGGACAAAGCTCAACCACTGACCCCAAAATCCTGATTCTTTGACCCAGAATTTGAACCTTGGCTCTCTCCATCAACTTCATCCTGCTGCTCCTGCTTGGAGTCCCAGGTGGGTCCCGCCCCTTTTTCCAGCCAACCACCCCCAGTTTGGGGCTTTGGACCAATCAGGTTTCCCATCCCCATCTCCCCTTTGTCCCGCAGGGCTCCGGGCGGCCGTGACCCTGCGGGAGTGCGGGGGGGACCTCCAGCCCCCTGGGGAGTCCCTGCACCTCCTCTGCCGAGGGTCCGGGTTTACTTTCGGGTATTATAAAATGTTCTGGGTGCACCAGAGACCCGGGCAGGGGCTGGAATACATTGCAGATATCAGCAATACTGGTGGCTACACCGGCTACGCGCTGTCGGTCAAGGGCCGGGTCATGATCTCCAGGGACAACGGGCAGAGCTTGGTGACGCTGACCATGAACAACCTCAAGGACGAGGATTCCGGATCCTATTTCTGTGCCAAATGTTACAGCAGTGGCTGTGGTAATGGCGCTTATGCGAATGGTGTTGATGGTGGTTGTGGTCCCAAGCCCTTTTTTCTGCGTTTCCAAGTATCACAAAATTATCTGATCCTTCCCCAAAATCCCAGCCCTTCTCCTGAAATCTCAGCCCTTTTCCTCCAAACTCTGCCCCTGCTGCCCAACTCTCGACTTTCCCCCAGTTTTGCCCATTTCACCCAATTCTCCCCCAGCTCCCCTGGCCCTGATTGGAGGAGGCCTGAACTGGAGGCCAGGGGTGAAGGTTTGGGGCCAATGGTTGAGTTTTGGGGCAGGAGCAGCAGAGGGTTTGGGGTCAGTGCTGACCATTGGTGCAAATGGGGGAGATTTGGTACAAAGGGTCAAGGGCTGAGGTTTGGGGGAAGTGTCTGGTTTTGGGGGAGGAGGGAACTCAAAATTGAGGACTCAGAAAAAACCACCGTGACCAACCTCATCACAATCAATGTCTTTACCAGCAGCAGAACCACAACAACCATCCCAACTTTTGGCACAG